TTGTGGTGGGCCGCCTGGACCAAAAAATGCCTGGGCTGATTTTTTGTCCCAGTCCAACCCTGGCATCAGGTCAGTAACTATAGTTGGCATGTCTGGTTTTTTTTTTATATGCGGAGTAGTGGATCAAATTAACAAAGTAGGCTATACGTTAAATTCTTTAGTTTAAATGTGCTCACATGAATAGCCTTTATATGGTTCTGTTGTGTGTTGTTTTGTTTATTCTGAGAATAAGACATATGATCTTCTTTCCTCACCGGAATTGCTCCACAACTTGAAGTTGTAACATTCTAAATCAACATTTTGAGGTGATAAATACTATATTAAGGCAATTATTATACAGCATTTTATGCGTGTAACATTACTTCGAGCCTGTCAATCAACATTAGCGAGCCACCCACAGGATAACGCAAGGACATCTCTGCCAAAATGTTGTCCCCATGTGTTCAGAGATTAGAATATAAAGTTTACAAAATGTTTTATGTATATTAGCGCTATGACCCAGAATCTGCCCCACCTAAATTTACGGTCAGGAGCCGCTACTGATGATAAGGCTAAAGAAAATCAAAAAGGATACAAAAAAAAAAAAAGTTCATGTTGGTTTATCTTTATTGGTAATCCGGCTACACTCTTAAAAATAAAGGTGCTTCACGATGCCATAGAAGAACCTTTTTGTCTAAATGGTTCCATGAAGAACCTTAACATCTGAAGCACCTTTCTATTTCACAAAAGGTTCTTTGTGGCGAAAGAAGGTTCTTCAGATTATAAAAAGGTAAGAAAGTGATGGTTCTTTAAAGAACCTTTGAAGAACCCTTTAAAGAATGGTTCTTTGTGGAACCAAAAATTGGCATCGCTTGAAGAACCTTTTGAAGCACCTTTATTTTTAAGAGTGTACACTGAACAGCCACAACATTAAAACTGCTAACAGCTGAAGTGAGTAACTGATTATATCATTACAGTGGCACCCAAGGGGTGGGGTAACCCTTAAATGCATACCTCGGGACTTTAGCGACCCGGGACATCATATATCGGTTATCGGGCACATAAACACGCAAATAATTGGTATCGGTATCAGTTATAAAATATCAATATCGGTCGATCACTAATTGTTAATGTAGGCATTTTAACCCTTAAATGTATACCTCGGGTCTTTAGCAACCCGGGACATTCTCTACCCTCTCCCTCCTTAATTTTTTTAAGTTAGACACCAACTTTCTTAGTATTCCTCAATCTATTCATTATAAACAATATAGCAAGAAAAAAATAGTAAAATATAAAAGAATGCCTGTTTTCTGATTAATTTTTTGTAAAAAGTGTATAGGGTCGCTACAGACCCGAGGTATGTAAATATGTAAGTATTCTTTCCTGCCCAACTATATTTACATATCTGATAACTCAATACGTGCAATGCATCTTTTTTCCTCAAGGTGGCACTGTTTGATACACAATGATGATGTGATGTTTCACTCATAATTACCGCAGACAAAAAACAAACGAATATTATCAGCAAAAATGTAACTGGTTTGAATGGCTTAAATGATGGGCTATCCTCCTGGAGTACTGTCTTTTTGCCTCTCTGATGCCGCGGGAAAGGTTGGCCCTAGCTGTCTTCAGGCCCACCTCATCTCCAGCTCTGAAGGCAGCGATATTGAATATTGAATATGAAGTCATTGAAAACGAGAGTTTTTTGCTATTGCAGCAGTTAGAGATCCATCCGTGCTGGAAATATAGGTCTGGGTCGCTAAAAACCAGAATATGTAATAAGGATTGGCGAAACATTTGTGCATTTAAGGGTTACGCAGTAAGTGAACTGTCAGTTCTTGAATATCATGTTGTTGGAAGCAGGAAATCTTCACATGATGAAAAGTTCAAGGTGTTGCCTTGGCCTAAAAATTCCCCAGATCTCAATCCCATTGAGCATCTATGGGACGTGCTGGACCAACAATTCCAATCCATGGAGGCCCCACCTTTCAACTTGCAGGACTTAAAGAGTTACTCCACCCCAAAATGAAAATTTTGTCATTAATCACTTACCTCCATGTCGTTCCAAACCCGTAAAAGCTTCGGTTGTCTTCGGAACACAATTTAAGATAATTTGGATGAAAACCGAGAGGATTGTGACTGTCCCATAGACTGCAAAGTAAATTATACTGTCAAGGTCCAGAAAAGTATGAAAGGCATCGTCAGAATAGTTCTGACGATGCTTTTCATAATTTTCTGGACCTTGACAGTTTCAGCATTCAATTATTCAGTAGCTTGTCCTGGAAAGCTTTCAGTTTACCTACCCAGTTTTATGATGATTGATTTGAAGTTTCTGTGGGACACAAAACAATCATATTCTGCTTTTTCATTCTCCTGGATCTCCACACTCTTCCTCAGCTGGAAGGTCCCATCATGGTTTGGTCTGATTCCTGTGGATTCAACCTCGTCTTCAGGCAGAAATGTGCAATATTTCCTAATGGTCATCATGTCTTTGGCGTAGAAGCCGGTGGCCATACAGGTGAGTTTCAGCTTGGTTTCATCACTGGATTTCCTTGCAAACACATGAACATCTGGAGGAGCTGAAAACACAGGAATTTGTTTATCAATCATCTGCCTATAAACAACAAATATCAATACTGTACATTTACTCACAAGCTTTTCTGAGCTCCTCGTCTGCATATTCTCTGAATTTGTTGAGCCAGTCCACACACTCTTTCTCCAGGTAGCCTTTGGTGTACTGGTTTAGGATAAGCACACTGTCCCATTTTCTCTTGGTTGGTAGAGCTGCTTCAACTAAGGTGACCCACTGAGACACTGCAATATCAAAAGAAATAAAGTCCTCTCCATCATAGGCGTACTCACTAATGCCTTTGGAAAACGCAAGTTCACTTCTCTGCTGCTCAACTTCACAACCGTGTCTCCACTGAAGAACATGAAGATCTGAAGCAGACACAAATCAAAATGTCTGTGAGATGATGATAATATAAATCCACGGATCATCTGTATATGCTGGTTAAACTGTAAGAATGTTCCTCACCTGATTCACGGTGTCGCATGCATTTCATCAGAATGTCGATATTCACATTAAACCACTGTTCTTTGCTCTTTCTTGACTGTGTGCCTTCTTCCCAGTAATCCTCATATAGTTTCTCCTTCATCCAGAGCTGTTTGGGAATCTTCCTCTGTTCTCTGCTACTGTAATAGTCAATCTGTATGTCATCTAGCACAGTGTTTCCCAACCCGGGTGCCGTCTGTCGAGAGCTGTTTTTATACAGTCTATGGTCGAGAGCAGGGGTGCCGTGTAAAAAATCATTTTTTAAATATTTTTAAATTGCTAAAATTTAAAAAAAAAAGCATCTATTATATAATATCCATTTCTGATGTCGCCAATAATTAGAGATGCACTGAAATTCCGGCTGCCGAAAATTAGTTCACCGCTCAGGTTTCACTTTCACGTGGAGTGACGCTCTGCGTATTATCCCGCTCTATGCGTGTGCGCTCCGCTCAGTCGGTCCACTCGTATACCGTTCATGCGAATCGGAACAGCAAAGTCATTGAGCTGACAGGAAACATCTATGTAGTACAGTATTGTTTCTGTCTGCAATAGCCCTACTGTGCTGTAACATGGTGTGGTATATGGGCATCTATGGTAACGCTGCCCTCTCATTCATTGATCTGCTAACCGCTATGTTATGCTCGCGTGTTCTGATAATAATAGCTTTCTAGGA